ATCCCAGCACTCCCATTTAAACAGAAAGGGGGAGGTGATGTGGGATTCCCCTCTGTATGCTGTGAATATCATTGGTGAATAAAGAAACTGCTTTGGACCAATAGCAGGGCAGAACTTAATTAGGTGGGGAAAATTAAGCTGAATGCTGGGGGAAAGAAGAGTAGAGTCAGGGAGAAGCCATGTAGCCCTGCAGGAGACAGACACCAGAATTTTTCCCAGTAAGCTACAGTCTCGTGGTGATACACGGATTAATAGAAATGGATTAAATTAAGATGTAAGAGTTAGCCAATAAGAAGCTAGAGCTAATGGGCCAAGCAGTGATTTAATTAATACAATTTCTGTGTGATTATTTTGGGGGTCTGGGCAGCCAGGCAGCCAGGAAACAAACAAGCAGCTCTTGCAACAATTGAGATTAACCTTGACCTTAGTTTCTAATTCCATTTCAAAATTCTTTTAGCTATGAGATTAAGAACTCTATAACCATTGGTAATATTCCCACATTTAGGCTTAAACATGTGTCTTTTCTTTTTTACTCCATTACATTCTATTTCTACTTTGGCTCAGATTCCTGCTTGACTTTACCTACCTGAACCACTTTATCTTTCTTCAAGGCTGAAGGTACAGAAACGAGTCACTGTTCTTAACCTTTCTTCTTAAAATGCCTTACAGTCCAGGGACTGCCAGACTCGAGAGAAGTGACCAAATTTACTCCCAGGCAACAGAGAGCCTACAGGACACACCATCTCACGACGAAAACAACTGACTGCAGTCAGAGCCTGTTCTCTGAAGCAGATTCTTTTAGAGCAGCCTGTCTCCTCAGTGGATGATGCCCAAGGACCACCTTGCAGTGCTTCAGCTCAGGTATGGATGGGTGGGCTCACACCTTGACCAGGACTACTTAATTACTCATACCTCCTGGCCACGACCCAATTCTTTCTCTATTTAAATCAAAAGCTCATTCCAACAGCCCGGAGATGGACCTGGGAATCACTAGACCCTTTCATCCTAATGTGCTGCAGTTGACTGAAACTCCTGTCTCTGCTTTTCACACAAAAGGGGAATAAAAACATCAGCTATCTTTACCAGCCACGAAAGACCATTTGAATTCATCAACTATCTCATCAGCCACAAAAGGAGAACACAAGCATCCCATGTAAAATAATTATAAACTTGACCCAATTATTGTGAAACTAAGGCTGCTGGGGGTAGCCATGGTGGAATTTCCCCATCTCCATAGATCGTCAACATCATATACCACAGAATGACTGTTTCAGAATCGACACTCCACTGTTTTTGAATTTAAACACGTTTGGGACTCACCCAATGAAACAAAACCTTAATTTTTATTTGTTTTTGGTGAGCTACTTAACAAGCAGTGACTTCTATAGTGCTGTTAAAATTGTGATATTTTATCCCCTCATTAATTGCAAAATGAAATTTTTAATGAAATAGAATTCAATAATATTAAATGAGAATTCAGTGTGTGCCTTGAGAGACTTCTTTAGTTGTACATGTGACTGAGATGGGAAATACATTCTTATTATGGATTCAATTTGGAGAAAAAAGAAAAGCTCACACTTGACAATATCTTCTGTGTGATAATGAGCAGAAGGCAACAAATAGAATTCCATAAATCAATAATGACTATTGCACAACATTTTGATCTACAGCCTCAACAGGAAATCATTTTGGCACAGAGCATTTTGCACCACTGCCATCAGTATGGGGCTTTTGCTTTCAAAGTATTGCAGATTGACTACGCTCTTTATCTGCTCTAAAATCCTGTTGGTAAGACGAAGCAAATTACTCATTCAGAGCATGTGCCTCACTTTGCAGCTGCTCAAAAAGCTCTGCATGCTCACGCAGATCCCTGCATCACTGGCACATCATGAACCAGCATTGCCTTGGCTGGAGAAATGGGTGTATCAACCTTGAGAACTCTTCAGCAGTCAGAGACAGATGCATCTGCCTGGAATGTTCGGTAGCTAAGCGCTTAAGACCAGCATCTGCAGAAGGAAAGAGGGCTCTAAAGTTCAGGTTTTGCTAAATGCCACAGGATTCTTTGTAATAAGTCTGTGCCTTCATTCCGAATAGCCAGGTTCTCTCCTCACAGCAACTGAGCAGCTAGGTTTTCGGGTGACTGTGATGAGTAAAATGATCAGTGATAAATAAATTATTGATTTTTTTAAAAAGTGGTTTGAAATGTTACAAAAATGTGGCATAAGTAATCTTTAGAGGATCAGGTTTATTTTTTTCAATAGGCTAGTCATGCAGCTAGGCTCTGCATTTCTAGAAACATATAACTAATGCCAGTATTGAAGCTTCCTGTCCACAAGACCTATTATTTAAAAGCAATCAGGCTATGGCTTGGACGTGGTTTGTTCTTAAAGGATTCATGTTTTGGAGACATGGTCCTGTGTGTGCAGGGGTGAGGTGGAGGGTTTTCAGGATGTGAGGCCTATTGAAAGGTAATTGCTTCTTGGTTTTCAAAATGTGATCACTTATTCTCATGAGGGTTCCTGCCTTTGTGATACCATCTGCCTACAGTCCTTCCCCACAGGTCCATCCACTGACCTTCTCCAATCTCTTCAACTTTGTGACTGTAGAGCTGCCAGCTAGAAAAACTTCTTAACTTAACCAGCTTTAGGCAGTTCATAATAGTAACAAAAAATGCACTACTACAATTAGAGCTCTATAATTATGAAAGGTGGGTTAGTGTGCAAATTTTCAGAGGAAAAGACAAGGGAATTTTCTTATTTATAAATTTAAATAGAAAATAAAAACTTTTAAATATAAAGCTGTAGCAGGATATCATTCAAGGTATATAGAGAATGGACGAGCTAATATATATAATGAAAGCTCAATTTCTAAGTATAAAATATTGGTGTATAAATTTAAAAGAACAATTACAGGCACTAAAAACTATTGCATTTGAATTCTATTAGATGAACTGTAAAGTGTTACAAAACGTATAATTGGGCTGGAGAGATGGCTCTTCCAAAGGTCCTGAGTTCAATTCCCAGCAACCACATGGTGGCTCACAACCATCTGTAATGAGGTCTGGTGCCCTCTTCTGGCCTGCAGGCATACACAGAGACAGAATATTATATACATAATAAATAAATAAATATTTTTAAAAAATTTAAAAAAGTATAATTATTGGAAACAAAAAACACTAGGTTAATATACCATTGAGTTAAGAAAACACAAGAAAGTATAGCAGAGAAGACGATACTCAATATTTGTACCCATCTAAAGTATATGTCTAACAGTATATTCTCATGCCATATAAAATTAAATCTAGCGATAAAAATAAAAATTCTTTTTCTAATAATATCACAAATTATACCATATTTGGTAGTTAACCTGATAGAAATATTTGAGCATATTTCATATGTGGCATAAGTAATCTTTAGAGGATCAGGTTTATTTTTTTCAATAGGCTAGTCATGCAGCTAGGCTCTGCATTTCTAGAAACATATAACTAATACCAGTATTGAAGCTCCCTGTCCATAAGACCTATTATTTAAAAGCAATCAGGCTATGGCTTAGACGTGGTTTGTTCTTAAAGGATTCATGTTTTGGAGACATGGTCCTGTGTGTGCAGTATATGAAGCATGTCATACTTATTTCTCTTTTCAAAAGAAGAACAAAGATATAAATAAGAGAAATGCTCAGTTCATAACTAAATCATTCTATAAATTCAATGCAATTACTATAAGGTAAGAACCACAAATAGTTGATATCATGGCAAAATCATCTAAAATATCAACTTCAAATAAAAAGCAAGAAGCTAACAACAACATTCTTAGCTTAACAGTATCAATAAACCCAGTATTAAGTAATTGAAGAATAACGTACTAGCGAAGAGAAATAAATGAACAGAACAGACAGTAGGATAAAGAAGCTACACACACAGTTACATCTTTACTATATGCTTAATTTTGCTTTTAAGTCAATAGGAAAATCACAGAAGGATAGGTTTCTAGGTGATAGTGAAACAAGGACAAGTAGTTATATATACATAAACAAGAATACATTCTGGGTTAATTCTGTATGTAATTACATGCAGTGTATATTTGGGCTGAACATTTCCCTTGAACAGTAAATACCAACAATCCATAACAGAAAGAACTAAACAATTTGATGATGTAAATTTCAAAGTTCTGTAGATTAAATGACTAATAAAGTTAATAAGCTTCCTAATTATATTTTACTAGGACATAAAAGCTAGCAAAACTTCGTTTTGTTTGAGCTAGCCCAAGTGTGGTTGCCCCGACTTTTCTGAGTAGGGGACTGTCATTAGTGACTGAAATGGAACACATGGGGAGGAGAGTAGGTTGGGTTTAGTAATGTATGTCCTTACCATTATGTCTCACGGGAACGGTGCAGATTGTAATGTATAATGGAGTATGAACTTACAGGCAATGATTCCAGACAGGTTAGGATGGGCAATTGCATGACTCTGTTTCTAGCTAATGATAATGCATGCCTTCCCACATAGCAGATGGTCAATACCGCTGAACTGAGGGGTGGAATGTAGCACGAGGGCCTGAGAAAGCAGGAGAGAGAAAAACCTTCTACTTTTGATTAACCTATAGTTTTACATATTTGTTCTGTGTTTGTGAACCTGTGCGCACTTGTGTCCATGTACATGAGCACACATGTGTATGCATATAAAGAAAGAGGCTGATATCAGGTATTTCTCATTTATTTTCCACCATTGTTTTAGAGACCAGGTCTCTCATCGAACCTGGTATTCATGCCAGCTCAATAGGCCAGCAAGGTCCTAGAAATTCTGTCTGCCTACTGAGACTGGGATTAGCGGTGCTCAAGTCCTACCTCTGTGTGAGTACTAGAGACAAGCTCAGGTCTATACAACCACATGATTTAAGAAATTAAAAGCCAGTGGATACTGGAGAGAGGGTCATACTTATATGACCCCACAACATTCAACCCTACACTTGATTAACACATAAAACTTAGATAGCATACTCTACCTGTGAGTCCAAGATACTGGAGATTTCATGGACACCAACATTTACTTCATCCAAATGCAAGCAAAACAAATTTCTGGCAACCTGGACAAAGTCTGAAATTAACACATTTTGATAAGAACATAGCATTTATTTTCATCCAAAAAAGTATTTCTTTTTTCTCTGGGAAGTTAAAATTATGAGCTTCAAGTTAACCTACATAAATTATCCTAAAATTGTACTGGTCAAAGTGACAGGAAAATATAAACTCAAATAATAGAGAAGCCATTTTTTCTCTCCTTCAATTAGCTTTGGTCACATAATTCAGTTAAGAAACAACAAGGCAAACACATATCACAGACATCTAATTCTCTAATTCTCACATTATGCATACAATGCTCTCTGGAAAAATAGGCAATATTATGACACAGCTTTTCAGAAAGAAAGAATCAAAGGGTTCATATTAACAGCAACAGCGAGTCTATACAACAATTGTATGTGCTTAGAGACCATCCTGACCCCATTCCTTCGTCCTCTGAGGCAGATCCCCTAGTCTACAGAGGAGCAAATCTTAAACTTACTGAGGTCAACTGGCAAACTGAGCATCAGAACAGCCCATAACTTAGATACACTGGGATGGTCTGCTCATTTACGTATCCACAGTAAGTTTTAATTGGAGCTGTTACACTGTAGTGTCAAATAAATGTTCTCTGTTTTCACTTTACAAATTTATGTTCTTACTTCACGGGTGAATTATCTTTTCTCATCTTTTTAAGGGTATTAATTAGTTTATCTAACATTATCTTCTGCTCTTACCATTTCTGTTTCCTTTTTTTTCTGTTCACCTGATACTTTCGGGTTCCATATTTTATGTGATCTTATCAAATGTCCAGAAATCTTTGACTTTTGAGTTTATGTTTAACAATAAGGCACTAAGAAATTGGCTGGAAATTATGTGTGCATAGCAAGCCTTGTCAACTGGAAAGATTATTTTATTATCAGAAAAACAGTCTGGTGGTCTGCTGGCCTTTTTGTATAGGTTCTTGAGAGACATGCCTTAAATCCCCTGCTAAGATTATAAACATGGATGCAAATGTCACTGAGCATCGGGGTACACGTTTTGAGCAATGACTCACCACAGACAACTCCAAATTCCCCTGCTGCTAGTAAGTATAGCTCCACAATATCTCTGGTTTAATTTATTAATGAAGTAAGTACCATTCCCCCTGGAAGATTAAGGAAATAATAGGTGCTACACTGCTTGAGAAAGGGAAAAGCTAGCATGAATAAATGTATTAGCATGTCTAAGAACTCTGATTTCAATATGTAGCATCAACCAGCCTAAAGTGACAGTGGTACTCTATACTAGCTTGCCCTGCCTGTGAGCCCTCCTTCTTCAGATGCCTGGGATTCTCCTGCCTCGCACACTAATGTAGGTACTGCACTCTCTGCACCCATCTCTGTCCTTATAAATTGTGTGTGTGTGTGTGTGTGTGTGTGTGTGTGTGTGTGTGTGGTGGGGGTTTGTTTGTTGTAGTGGTATGTATATTTCTGTTTGCTGTTACTACTATTTGGGGGATGATTTGCAAGAGGAGATGGAACCCCAAATATCTGTTTTTCCTCATTTCAAATATAAAAAGTGAACTTCTTTATTTCATCAGAGATGTTTTAAAATGATACAATGTAGCAATTATTATATGTGCTATAGAAAAAGTGCTAGAAAGAAAGTAACCATTACATTCAAGTAGTAAAATAGACAAATGGGATATAGTTTTTGGTTCATAATTTAGTGATAGATATCAAAATTCCAAACCATTGTAGGGGTTATCCTATTAAAAAAGAAAATTTGCTAGATTTTGAAAGTATAAATTCAGGTTTATAAAAATGTCAATAAATACAGATTTGTAATAAGAGCTACTGAGAAACCATCAATATGCCAAGAATGGAAATCTTGGTGCATTATGCCATCTCTAAGAATAACTACTCTATGCAACAAAAACATCCTATTCCACTATCTGAAAAAAAAAAGTAGAAGTATTTAGTGAAATTAAAATTTGTGTATTTTGTACTAATTTCTTTTGTTATTATTAAAGCAGTAAATAAAACATGCAAAAAAATGTGATTGACTAATGATATTTAGCGCTGAAGGGGCCTGATAAAGGTCTCTCTTGCTGACCCAGCCAGGTTGGCATCAGTGGCTCGTTTTAATGTACCTATTAAGGAATCTGCAATAGCATGATGTGAGTTTTCATTCTCCCTCTGAGGAGCAAGCTGTCTTCAGGAAAACAGGTCACAGTAACTTCCACTGACTATCTGTGAGAATACAGCATGATGCACAGAAGGCATTACCTCCAAAAGATACTGTCCCCTTTGAGTCGGCCTGGACTTGCTGTCTCAGGGCTTCATGTTGTTCCTTTGTTGGCTGAATACCGAGGTAATTGAGAGCCTGGAAGGAAATAGACTACGTGAAGCAATTTTCAAACCTCCAAAGGGTAAAACATTTCACTAGAACTATATTTTACAATGTAGTGGAAAATCAAATCACCCCTGGGGAACTGTGACCAGAATCAGACCCCTTGGAAAGTTTGTTGACTGTAGGTTAACTCCCTATAAACGATTACCTTCCTGAGCCTGCTGCCTCCCACCCCCACAGCAAATATCCTGGCAAATGCCATATTTACAAACATGACAGCAAGTCCAGAAAAAATAAATATTTTCTAGTCTATGTGATTTTGCAAAAGAAAAATAACAGAAAATTTTTACTGAAGTCAAATTTATAGATAACATTAAAAAAACATGAAAAGCATTTGGTTGCTATCTTGAGACTAGAACTGAAGTTGATAGAATTGTGTTAAATGGAAAATATTCTTAATTTTGGCTGGTTTAGGGCTACACATAACTCCAAAGAAAATAAAGGAAAGGTTTCCCTAACACTTATTTCTCCAGCAGGCTGACCTGATGATGACCTGATTTCTCTTGGGGTAAAGTAACTTCTGTCTTTACAATTTAAAAAAAAGTAGACACTTCCACTTGTACTCTCCTGCCCTTCCTATGATCTTTAGCCTTAGATAGAATCAAGCATAACTTCCAGTTAAAAGACATTTGCAGCTCACTTTGATGAGGTCCTGGGGCTATGTGCTAGCCAATGGGGAAGTGCTGGAGAGCATGCAGGAAAACTCCTATCAAAAGCAGAGGAAGTGGTTCTCCCCTTTGCCTTAAGAAAAGGGGAAAAAGAAAGAAGTAATCAGGCACCCTAACTCACCAGGCACCTCCACGATGATGGTGAAACAGGCAGCCTTATCTGAAAGGCTGAAATGTCGGTCCTTGACATTGGGAGTCTCTGTGCTTCTCCCTGGTTATTATCTTCTGAACTTCTTTATGGTAAGAACATTGTTTCCAAAGGAAACCACTGCTATTTGGGATTCTCTAGTATATATATATATCTCAAACTAATTTGAATGCATAAGAACTGACTGGGTGCCCTATCATTGGATTTTAGCAAGAGTACATACTGTGTCAGTTAAATTAAATCTAAACAAAAGTTATTAAAGGTAATTATGTGAGAAACCCTGTCTCGAAAAACAAAAACAAAAACAACAACAAAAAAAAAGGTAATTATGCTTGTCAAATGTCTTCTCATTTGGAATATGTTCAAGGCCTTTAACCAGACTTGTTGGTGCTGTTTGTCAGGCACGCGATTCTGTGCAACGGTATCAACAAACAACATAGTCTCTAGCCTCAAAAATCATACGGTCTTTAGGGTGAGAACATGCAAATAGTTTTAGTAAGCACATGGTTTTATTTAATGCAGGTGTATAGAGTGCCCACTATCAAGGAAAGCATTTGTTTATCTTAGAGGCAAACACACAATTTGACTAGGCGCAGTGGAAAGAAACAGAAAGAAGGTCGAGTATCAGGAAAGATTCTTAAAGTGTTTTGAAGGTTCGTCTAGAACCATTCATCTACCATAACAAAGCCAGAATTACTGTTAATATAACATCAAGAAAGATTTTTAGCATTTGTGTATGTGTATGTCTTTTCATCTTGAACAAGTTATAAATATTTTTTAAAGAGAAATCAAAGAATACCTATGTATTGGTTATCTTAAAATATTCAATGATATTTATTTAAAGTACATACATATTTTCAAGAAATAACTACAGATTGGGTCGAAAGCTTCATCTATCAATCATCACAGTAAATGCTACCCTAAAGTCAGCACATTCCTCTTGCCCATTCTTTATTATTACTTAGTATCCAGGTACATGTTCCCTAATTAATGTCCACTTGAATGTGTGTACTTAGAATTTTATATAAATAATATAACCTAAAAGGATAACTACAAATTTTTAATTTTATCTTAACTTAATTATTTTGCAATTGCTTAGTATTACCTACATACATAATTCACTTTTTTTGTTGTATTGCCTTGAATGAATATATTTTATTATCCATTCTCTGATTGATAGACATTTATAATTATATCAAGATTTTTATTATAAAACACTATACATCTCTTCTTTTATAGATGCATATAAATTTTTCCACTGCATATGCATATAAGAGGAGGTGATGATGCATGCCTTTATTCCCAGCACTCGGGAGGCAGAGACAGAAGGATCTCTGTGAGTTTGAGGCCAGCCTGTTCGACAAGAGCTAGTTCCATGACAGCTAGGGCTGTTTCACAAAGAAACTCTGTCTTCTAAAACCAAAATAGATAAATACATAAATTAATTTTTAAAAAGAGATGGTGATGAGCCACGGACATAGTGTCCACTCTACTGTCCTCTATTGTTCTTCAACTATGAGAACTATGATTACTCTTTTACACATGCCAGCAAAATATAAACAATCTTAGCTTCTTACATTCTGAACAGAACAGAATTTGTTGTTTTCACAAATGAAGATTTGTGACAATATCAGAAATATGTTGTTAATTTGAATTCTTCTAGTTACCAGAAAATGAGACATATTTTGCATGTTTGCTATCAAAATTTGACATACAAGTTGTTAGAAATATTATTTAAATTTTAGGACATAGTGTTTTCAGATATAAGTTTTAGTACTGGTTGGGAATCTGGATTTGGTTTGCACTACTGACAACCAACACAGTAGATATTGCCCAATGTCCTCTGAGAAAGAAAACTATTCTCCTGATGTTGGGACCCACTGCTCTGGGTACAATAACTATTACCAGTTTATGTGGTTTTTTCAGGTTTTTTCCTCTGAATATGATGCCTGTGTATAAACTTACATTTATTAAACATTTTTTTTTACAAATTAAGCTTTGCTCTATGTAATGTTTAAAAGTTATCTGTATATAAAGACTTCTGTAAGGCAAAAGACATGGTTAATAAGACAAAACGGCAGCCTACAGAATGGGAAACAATCTTTACCACTCCCACATTATCTGACAGAGGGCTGATCTCCAAAATATATGAAGAATCCAAGAAACTAGACATCAACAAACCCAAACAATTCAATTAAAAATGGGGGTATAGATCTAAACAGAGAATTCTCAACAGAAAAATCTCAAATGGCCAAAAGGCATTTAAGGACTTGCTCAATAGCCTTAGTCATCAGGGAAATGCAAATCAAAACAACTCTGAGATTCCATCTTACACCTGTAAGAATGGCCAAGATCAAAAACACTGATGACAACTTATGTTGGAGAGGATGTGGAGTAATGGGAGCATTTCTTATTGCTGGTGGGAATGCAAAGTTGTATAGCCACTTTGGAAACTAATACGGCAGTTTCTCAGAAAATTGGGAATCAATCTACCTCAGCACCCAGCTATTCGACTCTTGGGCATGGTGTGGGGCAATGATCTGTATTCTGTCAATTATGTTTTAAATAAACGCTGATTGGCCAGTAGCCAGGCAGGAAGTATAGGTGGGACAACCAGACAGGAAGTAGAGGCAGGTCAATGAGAATACAATTCTGGGAAGAAAGAACTCCTGGTTGGCAGTGTTACCCCAGACACAGAAGAAGGAAGGTATGACCTGCCCCGCTGAAAAAGGTATTGAGCCATGTGGCTAACATAGATAAGAATAATGGGCTAATAATATGCATTATAAGAGTTAATAAGAAGCCTGAGCTAATGGGCCAATCGGTTTACCATTAATATAGACCTCAGTGTGATTTTCTTTGGAACTTAACGATTGTGAGAACTGGGCAGGACAAAAACCTCAGACTACATGGGCATATACCCAAAGAATGCTCAATCATACCAAAAGGACATTTGCAATAACCTGGAAACAACCTAGATGACCCCCATCTAAGAATAGATGCTGAGGTAGATTGATTCCCAATTTTCTGAGAAACTGCCGTATTAGTTTCCAAAGTGGCTATACAAGTTTGCATTCCCACCAGCAGTAAGGAATGCTCCCATTACTCCACATCCTTTCCCCAGTTTACTCAGGAGATCTCATCTATTTCCCCTTCCAAGGACAATCCATGTATCCCTCTTAGGGTCCTCCTTGTTACCTAGCTTATCTGGGGCTGTGGATTGTAGCCTGCTTATCCTTGGCTTTACAAAACAAAACCAACCAACCAAACAAACAACAAAAAAAACCTGGGCTTAAGGATATAGAAATATTCAATCTAATCAATAGAACACAGAGAGGGAATATAAGGCAGTACAGCACGATGGTTACAGCTAACGAATATTAAAATATGGCAGTGTTTGTGTAAGCAAACATAGTCAGAAAATTCTGGGAAAAGAGATAGATTTGATCATCATTTAAACAATAGGAAGATTTAAACTGGTGGTGAGAAAGGCACTACTTGGAACCAAGCAAAGGTAGAAAGATGAAAATAATTATGATGTTTATTCTAATTACAATGTGTTTGTTCTAGCTATTCAATTTCATTTTCTTCTACAAACATGAAAGTCAGCATCTAATCTCACAGGACAACAGAGGGTGTTGAATTCCAGCACTGTATCCAAATGTGGTACAGTTTTTTTTTTTTCAGCTCCTCAGAAACCCCATCAATTTTAAAGCACTTGTCACCTTTTTTATTAATTAATTAATTAATTTACTTTTGTCTTAATCATCTTCTGTTACTTGTAATGATGTTCTCAATGCTTTCCTCTTCTTAGGGATATTTGTTAGTACGTTAGTGCATTGCCATCATCTCTTTAAATTCCATTTGGACCTGACTACTTTCTTTTTTACAATTTAATAATCCTTTAGTTTTTAAAATAATGAACAATGTTGCATTAATTCGTTGCACTTACTGCTACTGTATATGAAGGCTACTAAACTTGGTTATAATTTCAGTGACAGCTTGCAATATATCATATATTTTGTGTGTGGGTGCGGGGGGTACATATATATGGGCACACATCTCTGTATGAACACCAGAGGAGAATATTGACTGCTATTCCTCAACCCCTTTCCACCTTGTTTTTTGAGACAGGGTGTCTCATTGGCGTGGAGCTTGCCATGTAGGCTAAGCTGGCATCCTAGCTGGGGGTTCTATTTCTGTGGTCAGCACCACGACCAAAGCAACTCGAGGAAGAAAGCAGTATTTCAACTTACAAATCTCTGGTCAAAACTAGAGGGAGTCAGGCCAGGACCTCCAGTCAGAACCTGGAGGCAGGAAATGAAGCAGAGGCCATGGACGGGTCTGCTTCCTGGCTTGCTAACCATGGCTTTCTCAGCCTGCTTTCTTATACAACCCAGGACCAACTTGTCAAGGGTTGGCAGTACCCACTGTAGGCTGGACCCACCCACATCAATAATTAATCAAGAAAATACCCGACATACTTGCCTACAAGCCAACCTGAGGATGGCATTTGTGCTTTGTTTGTTTGCAAGTGGGAATCCTTCCCAGATGACTTCAGCTGTGTCAAGTTGCCATAAAAGCCAACTAATACAACTCCCTGGCCAGTGGACTCCAGGGACCTGCTTATCTGTACTTCTCCACAAGCCTGGCTTTTTAAAATGTGAGTTCTAAGGGACTGAACTCAGATGTTTAGATGGCAAGCACATTTACCATGCAGTGAGCTATCATCCTAGCCTAAGAGAAACTAATTTGCATGTCAGATTAGAATCAAAGGCTTTATTTGTACTTTACACTAGTGAACTACTATGAACTTCCAAACTTCAATGTTATTAAATAATTGAAACTCAAGCTGTCACTCATCTAATTGAATAAGCTAATTCAAGAAACCAATGGCTCCACAACATTCTCCTCTCCAAGAACGAGGCAGCTCTTTCCTGCTGTCTTGTGAAGAAAACGAAATTTTAAGGGATTTACCATTTCCAGTTTCTCTGCCTTCAGGCGAACAGAAGGATTTAGGGAAATCTTCTTTCCTTGTGGTCCAGAATCATCATCAGTCCAGGCAGGAGCAACATCTAGGAGACAACAGGGTGCACATTAATTGGAGATCTAATAGGAACAGAACTTTTCATTTGACAAGCTGTGTTCTGGGCTCCTGCTGTTCAAAGATAATTCTGGTTAAACAGTTGGCAGGTCTTACTTTTGTTTTTATGAATTTTTCCCCTGTAAGTCTAGAATGTTTCATATAAATCAGCTTTACTTGAGTGTTAAAAGATATGCTATGCAGCATGGTAAATTCTGCATTATGAAGTCCCATGGAAACATTAGCCTAAAGACAGAGTCCTAACCATTATGATGCTCACCTCAATGCCATGGTAGCTGGAAGGTAAAAGCCTCCCTGTTCAAGCAAGGGAAATAATATTAGAGTCAGAAAGACCATGATATTTCCTTGACTGGAAAAGAGAGTACCGCTGTGGAAATAGTCTGGAAAAACGCTAAGTGCAACTTCTAACACTTATGCACTGAAGGATGAAGTGGACATGCAACTTTCTGAGCTAAAAAAAAATCCTGTTCCACTTTACAGAAAAACTGAGTTTCTAGCAGTAAACGTGGACTTTTACAGAGTTAAACAAAATGCTCTCCTCATCCATTTCCCTGCATGTTTTCAATGCGGCTTAATTATGCAGATATGCTTTTTCCTGTTTGCCAGAATGGAAAGTTAGATGCCACCAGAGGCCAGCCCTTGAGAACGATTTAATATGCCACAGTTTTAAAGACAAATTTCTACAATTTATGTCAATCCTTCCTATCTAAGTTGTCACTGTTCTAAATACACTCTTAAATGGTATTTTACTAGTTCTACATAGAAACAAGAGGAAGAGAAAAAACTTTTTGAAATGTCACATCTTTATGCAGTGTTTTAATTTTTTTTAATTTCTCAGAGCATCTGTCTCTAAGTACAGAGTGATTTGCATTCTCTTTCTTAAGAACATAAGAAGCACATATGAAAATAAAGAGTCTTCCTCTAAACCTTTAACACATCCTCAACATTCTATGCAAAATCTTTAATATAGCTTATAGGTGTTAAGAGTAGATATAAAAAAAATTGTCACTGACTTTTAGTTCCAAATGGGATTAAACCTTGGGAAGGGTTGACTCTAGTGTGACAGAATTTTTACAATTCTGCTAAAAGCAAGAAAGATTCTTTTGTTGTCATGACATCTAATTGCTGGCCATGAGGTTAAAATAAAATATCAAATCCCTATTTTGAAGTATTAAAAGAAACTATGTAGCAAACTGCCAGTGTGGTAGAGAAGATTACTATGGGCTGAAATGGCATGGAAGAGCAAAAAGAGGGAAGGAAACTCTGTTTCTCAACTTTAAGGATGCATCTTGAGATCTGTTTTCAAACTGATGCCTAACCCACAATTAAGGGTCCCTAACATCTAGTCAACTCATGCTAACCTATCCATAGTTTCAGTACAAGTCTAACTGGGCTTAAAAGACTCTGTTCAAGTTAAGTATGTAAAAATGTTAAAGCAATGGGCAGAGGAGAGAAAAGTGGACACACATGATAGCCACATACACAAGACACAGTTTGACTGTTTGCCTACAGCTAACTGAAAATCTGGTATGGCAAGAGGCAGAAATAACAAATCAGCTCTATTTTCCCCTAGGCACCCCCCACACCAAACCAAGAAATTGACCCAGGTTGTACATCCCGGCAGCGACAATGCTATGGTCTTTATCTCTAGTGACTCCACAGTTTTCATCAAAGTAGAAAGACTCCAACTGATATTTGTCAAGGACGGTAAAGACAAAAATCAGTGAAGGCATAGAAACAACTACAAAACCTGAGAAGAGACACTGTGCAATGAGGAAAGGGAGATAATACGAAACTACCCCAAGGCTTGGCTCCACAGCAAGCACCGTACCTTGCCAAGAGCTCATTTCTTCAGCCTACCTTCCTCTCCGTACTGACTTCCAGGCTAAGTCTTGAAGAGGCGCATGCACACCAGAGCGTGTTGACAACTCAGAATTGTTTAAAGCATAATGTCCCTCAGACCTCAATTCCAATGACTCTATCCCTGTCTCAACCTCCCATTTGCTCCTCTCTGGGTGCCCTCTGCTTCTGTTCTATTTTGGATGAGAAGAAAGGAAATGCTCTGTAAGAGTATGACCAACACTATAAAACTAAGTTTTAAATGTTACAAAAAACTTTAGAAGGTTATTTTTCCCCATTAGTTTTATTTGAGTTTTAGAAGGCTGAGTGCAAAGGAATTAAGCCTTGTCCCAATGCTCACTTAATGGCGCCCTTTCTTATTCCCCGAGGAAGGGCTTCGTTTATCTGCAGTTCACTCAGAAACTGTCTATTAGTCAACCCAGTGCCATAGTGAACAATTCTGAATTCTTGAGCTAACTTACGTAATGGACAGATAATCTTAAGTTATCTTCATGTATAATGCTGATCTTAAAAGTATTCTAACGAATTTTATACTTGCAAATAATTCTGAGATGGAAACAGAGAAGAGCTATCTTATGTTTATTTTTGTTGAGGTTAATATTAAAACTTGTTCACATTTTTACAATAAATACTGCATTGGTTTGAATGTGAAGGATCCCTGTGGGCTCAAAATCTGAATAGTTGGTCCTTAGCTGTTGGTTATGTGGGGAGGTTACGGAAGTTAGAGAAGCTTTGTGGGACCTAGTTTGTGGAGAGGGCTATGTGTGTCTTTAATGGTTTATATTCACTTCTGAATCTGGCTTTCTCTGCAGCCTGGGACGGTAACCATGTGAGGAGCTTTGCCTCACGCTCCCACAGTCATGGGGTCTCTTAGCCATGCCTTTCCCACCATAATGGGCAGACTCTTCCCTCTGAAACTGTGACCCCAAATAATCTTGCCTTTTGGTTGCCTCTGTCAAGTATTTGGTTCACTAATGAGAAAACTAACTAATGCGAATACCAACTGACTAAAGGAGTCTAGAAGATGATAGTTAAGGACCTAATACGGGAACTCTATGCTTATGTACTTACACGCAGAGAAACCACAACATATGCAAGTTATCTGGAGACAATTTTGAGGGTTCCCCTCCCTGCATTGTGTAAAACCCCACCCAGTAAATCTTGCCTACTGCATTTATGCAGAAATGTAAACGTGGATCTGAGTTAATGCTAATTCTATCCTAGAAAAAGTCTGTTAATGTTTTAATATTTTAATTTTATAAATGACTTACTTAAATACATTTCTTAGTAACTACTTTCCTATTCCAAATTCAAACAGTTATTCTTATAGCCATTGGTACAAATTTCACTTTACAACGGAAAGATCTGTGCTCTCATCAGCACTGTCTCTTAGGGACTGTGGCCCCTCACTGATCTGAGCTCTATGCTTTTGTTCATGACACATTCTTAAATTAAGATTAATGTCTTCTGCCTGTTTCCTTTAAGACGAGGATAATGCTTGAGTTTTGAGAAGCTGAGGTGTCTTAATTTTTTTTTGTATGGTATGATGAGCTCGTTGCTGTAGCCTGGTTTTGGAGGTAGAGGGAAAGACATAAAATTGACTCTCCAGGAAGAAGCCCTCACTTCTGCTCTAAAACCATGCTCTTTCTCTGGAGACCTATCTGAGCTACATGTTAGCTTATGTTTCTGCAATATGATTAACAATAAAAATATTGCTGAAAATATACCATGTACCAGTTACAATGCTAAGCACTTGACATGTGTGACCTTTAGTCTGTAACTTCTTACTGCAACCATCTAATGGTCATGGAGCTAAGAAATCAGGATCAAGGTTTAGGATTTCTCAGGCTGCTCCTGTGTTTTCCTGTACAACATGCAGTGCACTGGCTATTTCTACTGATTGTATCGGAGCTGCTTGCTCACTCTCTCCTTAGTCTACTTTGTAAATGTCTTTACATTATTGTGTACCATACAAAATCCATGTGCATGTATAAATCTATGAAAAAATACATGTACATTTTAATGTTTTTTTTTATTTGAGTGATGAGGACGTTAACCTCATCAATTATTTTACAGTAATATTAAGTAACTCACAGAGATCCTAAATCTCTCTGGAATTCCTGCTGTGCTGTGCTTATTGTTAACTAGGTAATGTACACTGAACAAATGGCTAAAGGGACTAATTAGCTTGGTCACTTTAAAAATTGGAAATTTACTACATACATGATAGATAATTTACAATATAATCAAGGAATAAAGAGCCCTGACTTTCACCACTGAGCAACTCTGACCGACCCAGCATCTTGGATTATCTGCTTTATTCATCTATCCTCTTCTTTCCAGATGAATTCTCAATTTAAAATAAAAACAGTGTATCAAGAGACTGGATGTTAATTACATGACAGAAATACTAATTAATAGTATTTCCAGGAATCACTAAATTGTAGTAATTAAAAGGTATATAATTTTGGCTAAAAATTACTAACCCACTGGAAGATACTTCTCCCGATCAGAGGAAACATACGTTGAATAGAGCATAAATCCCCGGAAACTCTGTCTCGTGGTGACTGTTTTTCTTTTTTTGTGTGCTGGGGATTGAATACAAATGTTCATGCCTGGTAAGCATGTGTTCTTCTACTAAGCTATACAATTTGTCCATGTTGCAGTAGCAACTTAATCTAAACTAGTTCTCTTTATTTTGCAATTCTTAGCAAAAATAGTGGCATTAAAATTAATAATGTGGTATGGGAAGTCCTTTTGTTATGTGTTCTTTTTATTGGTTAATGAATAAAGAATCTGCTTGGGCCTATGACAGGGTAATAAGAGCAGGGCAGAAATTTCAAGAAGAGAGTGAGAGAGGAGAAAAGAAGGCAGAGTCAGAGAGATGCCATGTAGTTGCCGAAAGAGACAGATGCTGGAACTTTACCCAATAAGCCACAACCTTGTGGTGGTACACAGAATAACAGGAATAGGCTAATTTAAGGTATGAAGAGTTAAAAAGCCTGAGCTAGCAGGCTGAGCAGTGTTTTAATTAATACAGTTTTTATGTGATTATTTGGGGTCTGGGCAACTGGAAACAAATGAGCCTTACAAATTGGTGCCCAATGTGGGCAGCTACATCCACATAAAACCTGAGAGAACTTGAAAAGAAATCTAGACACAAAAAATGGAGTTTAGCACAGTTTCTTAGAAGCCACTTTTTTTTTTTTCAGATGGTCTGTTTGCTGGCAATGAGCAGGGGCCACCATGGCTCCTTTAAGAGAGGTCTTCCTGATTCAGCATTGGCAGCAAAGCCTGTGTGGCTTCTTGGGCGGGGGCATCCTGGTTAGTGCTAACAGTACAAACAGCCCTGGCTCTTTCAGGAGGCCTATAACTTAAATGGAATCTGTTAACAGCATGTTACAAATTGCTTAATAGTGACAGAGATCCACTGTGACCCTGTAGCTGGGGTGGTTGCATGGCTCTCAGGCAATAAACATGCCTCTGCCATGTTGGACTAGGCGGAGCCAAAAGGCAGGGCTGTGGTGTTGGTCTTAGTCATGCCCACTGCACAATTCAATGTCTCTCTATACAGGGAATTGAATTGTACAGGCTGCTAAGCTAAACCTATATCTATAATAATATATATATCTATCTATATATTATATATATATAGATTATTATATATATTTTAAAGGTATCTTGACTGGAAAATTTGGGTCTAAGAATGTGTAACTTTGGAAAAGACGTTCTGCTATTGTTTCCACAGAGAATGAAAACCAATGAATTTTTTTTTCAAGATTAATGTGGTTTTAGGGACCAAGACCCCCAAAATCCTCCATAACCTCCAAAAATACTTTACACAACAACAACAACAAAAAATACTCCCAAATTCCCAAATACTGCTTATAAATGTTTGTTTACATTTAGAGGGGAATATGATATAGATATAAATACTTTGCATTGGTATGGATCTTGGTTTATTGATAAAAATTTAAGGTCAATTTTGTTATATGTATATTTCTGCTCTTGATTAGGATATTGTATTTGTGCAGCTCATTTAAAAATGTGATGTATAATTAAAAAATATAAGTGAATAGATAGTCATCCTTAATAGTGAAGAATATAGTCATGTTAATTAGGTTTTCTAGATGAACAGAGATATATTTCAGATGGATAGGTATTCTTCAAATCTTTCAAAGACCTACAGAATAAGGCATTTAAAATGTTTTAAGAACTTAGGACTTTTCATGACAATGAGACACATCTGCATCTGACAGCACCAATAACTTCAAACTCATAAGTTTGAAGCCATTTGGAGTTTGTTAGCCATTTGGGCAAGAAACTGCTGTTTTCTGGACTGCTTGATGGTATGCTGTATAAACAGGACATGCAGGACCCACAGAAAAATGATTGCTGAACTTGCCAAAAGAAGGTGAGACAGTCCTTCTGGGTTCCTGCTTCATGAAAGAGTCTGCCAGACGTTCTGCAGGAGACAGAAAAAAGTGACTGACAAACTGCCAATATAAATGGAACTGTCTTTAAATTTTCCTGCTTCATAAAAAAGTCTGCCAGATACTATGGGCCTGTAGGCTGAAGATAGATGCCCTGAAATTACATAAGGACTTTGGGTGACTGTCCAGGCAGAAAGATGTCTCTGTCAATTTTAGAGTTTTGCAAGTTGCTTACAATGCACTTCCTGTTAACTTAAGTAATATTTTAACCTTCTGGGTCTTTGGTGGAGTTAAAGAATAAATAGTTATAATTATAGCTTTCCTTGCTTATGATAAAAGATAAAATAAATATAAATATTATAACTGTATCTGTAATTCTTAATTAATACCTGTTTTATATATGTAATTTTACTATGTTAAATTAAAACCTTTTTATTTGTACAGGAAAGGAGAAATGGTATGGGAAGTTCTGCATATTGGTTAATGAATAAAGAAGCTGCTTGGGCCAATGGCAGGGTAGAAGAGAGCAAGGCAGGAATTACAAGAAGAGAAAAGAAAGGAGTCAGAGAGATGCTATGTAGTTGCCAAAGGAAACAGACTCCGGAACTTTATCCAGTAAGTCACAACCTTGTGTTGCTCCACAGAATAATAGAATGGGCAAATTTAAGATGTAAGAGTTAGGTACAAAAACCCTGAGCTAATAGGCCAAACAGTATTTTAATTAAGGTAGTTTCTGTGTGATTATTTTGAGTCTGAGCAGCCAGGAAACAAACAAGCAGTCTCCACCTTACATACATGTGGGTTGCACTTTGAATTATAATTTAGCAACATGTAACTATCCTTTTAGTTATATTGAATATAGTTAATAAATTGTCTTCTTTAATTTTAAGAGATAATTTTGGTGTAAGAATTATTTTTCTTGATATTTGAGACAATAAGATCTTTATGGTTTGATAAAAATCCTTTCCTATGTGCAGCTTAGACAATTTTCATTTTATTTTATTTTTAAAATATCACTAAGTCACTTTAGGGTGATTCAAAACAATATCAAAGTCAGTATTGCTGTCGTTTCTAATTTATATCCACACAGTATCTTCCAAAACAAACATAAAAAATCAAGCATTTTTTCAGTTCTGTCCCATCTATATTGTGTTTTCAGTGGTGAAGTGTTATATCTCATGAGTACTTCAGTAAAGGGCAATAAATTGCATATTGGCTATAGAAGCCTTTCATTATTTAATTATAACAATCTAACTATTGCAACTTTACAGACATTTATTATAATGTACTTCTTAAAATGTATTAATTATTATAATGCACTTCTAAAATTTCAACTCTATGTTCAAATAAATTTCCAGCGAAAGCAAAAATTTAACAGGAAGCACCAAATAATCCATTCATTTAGCTCTTTTATTCACTGAAGGAAGAAAAGCATAATATACCCTTCTTTAAAGTCTATTGAAAGTCATACTATGAATTCATCATTGAGAAAGGATAATTGAAGAACAAAATTACAGGAATTAAATGGAACTTTACCTGAACTGGATGCGTCTGTAGGGCTGTTGTCCAAAGAAGTAATTGGAGTATGTTCTGTTTTATTGTATCCATGTTTTGTCTGTGAAAGAAAATGAGGGAGACGACGTTTTATTTTCTAAAGTAGATCAAAAACTAAACTAGATGCTCATGTTAACATTAATAGAAGGTTTAAAGAGATCAAAGCAATATTACAAAAAGTATGAAGCTCCTAATATTTGGTATGTTTATCTTCAAAGAAAGCATTTCAGAGTTGAAAGTAATAATGATTTTATCTGTGCAGTGTCTAAGATAACAGAACAGAATGCCGTGTCCCTTGCCTTTCAAAAGATGCAGTCTAAGGACTCATAGAAACCAGGCTCTCTGATTACCATATACCTGGAACAAAACTTAGCCTATTGACTCAAAGTATACCTGATTCTTGTTTTATTTTACTCTGAACACAAATTTAAAGAATCTAAAGTCTACTTTAGAATTGTGATTTAATAGGGCAATGTAGCAGATTGAAAGCAATTATATTAATGTGGATATAAAAATTCTCTATTTTATAGAAATCAAATAAGTGAGGTGAACTATTTCATAGGACACACATGTGGGGGTGAGAGAAACACTATAGATGAGATAGTCTGGATTAACCCCAGTACGTATGGAAGAAACTAGGGACTGAACACACACACATACACAAACGCCCCCTCCCCCAGAGTACCTATACACAGTTAGGCAGAAGTGCTGTCTAGTTGTATGTTGATGCTTTATTAATTTTTTAAAGAAAGGATACATTGTCTTAAAAAAATCTATGTTTTTGCATCATAAAAACCTAAGAAGGGAAAAAGTCTTTCAAGGAAATACTAACTTATTAATAAGCATTATTAATGAAATTACAATTCTATGTTGACTAAATCAACATAAAAAACATAAATGCTTTATGGACTGAATATTAAGCTGAAATTTAAGAGTACCTGAATTTCTTTAAAAGAAGGTAAAATGGGGTTCTGAGTCTTGGGAGTGGATGAAGTCTTTGGAACTAATGCTTCGGGGGGAGGGGAAAGAAGATTAAATGCTGAGGTTTGAGGTCCACAGTCTTCTGAAGCTTGTAATGGGGATGGACAGCAAACATTTCCTGGATGGCCACTGTAAGATTTTTGTCTGATAAATGCTATCTGCCAAGGAGATTCTGACCTACGATGAAAAGAAATCACTTTGTGGATATGCAACAAATACAAGCAAATTCAAAGATATTGTTTCCAGTAGAGTAAAAAACCTTTCTTTACAGTATTCTCAATCAACACCTTTTGATGTATATGCTAAATGACTCATCCTATCATATGGATGGAATTGTTACCTCAACTTGGCTCTGGTAATTATGCTTTTTGCTTCTTCAAATGATACACCAATCATAGATTCCTTGTTTACTGAGACAAGTTGATCTCCTGGCTTCAAACGTCCATCCTAAAAAAAAAAAAAAAGTCAAAAAGAAAATTATAAAAAAAGATTAAAATCATTTTAATAAAATTAATATAACAAAAGTAATTAATTTTTATGAATAATGTCATAAACACAGAGTGAAAAAAATTAGAGACCTCCAATAGCAAAATGTTTTATTAATGCCTGGTTAAGGAATATACATAAGTAAAATTGTGGGTTTATTCAACAGCCCTCATGCTAACGAATCTGCCTACTGTAGAAAACAGGCCTGTATTCCAGGAAGACACTTGTTCTCAAAGCTTAGCACTATGAGTCTGATAAGATTCTGACTGATAACGTGAGCCAGCACTCACTGTACATTGAGTATTTCAGAACAGGACACTCATCCACCCTAGAATAAACATTCTTGCATCTTTCCTCTGGTTAATGGAGATGTGAAGATACATGAACATACAGTATGTACCTACCTACACACACATACATATACACATATAATACAAACATGCATGCATATAAATTCACACAAACACACAAAATGTCCATACAAGCACAAATACACTGATATTTTAAAAATGAGGTTAAGAAACATAACTATATTGATACTATCCAAATCTCAGTTAATAATCGAGCATCATCTTTTTTTCTGCTGTTATTTATTTATTTATTAAAGATTTCTGTCTCCTCCCCGCCACCGCCTCCCACTTCCCTCCCCCTCCCCCAATCAAGTCCCCCTCCCTCGTCAGCCCAAAGAGCAATCAGGGTTCCCTCCCCTGTGGGAAGTCCAAGGACCACCCACCTCCATCCAGGTCTAGTAAGGTGAGCATCCAAACTGCCTAGGCTCCCACAAAGCCAGTACATGCAGTAGGATCAAAAACCCATTGCCATTGTTCTTGAGTTCTCAGTAGTCCTCATTGTCCGCTATGTTCAGCGAGACTGGTTTTATCCCATGCTTTTTCAGACCCAGGCCAGCTGGCCTTGGTGAGTTTCCGATAGAACACCCCCATTGTCTCAGTGTGTGGGTGCACCCCTCGCGGTCCTGAGTTCCTTGCTAGTGCTCTCTCTCCTTCGAGCATCATCTTTACTAGACTTGCTAGTCCTCCTGTGGCCAGGCCACTAGGCTGTGCATATAGCATCATGGCCACGTCACGCTGATTTAACTGGCTGTCTCTGTTAAGCCCTGGCCGTGTGCATAACTACAAGTACGTACGGCCCAGCATTATTAATTTACTAGACTGATGTGGTTGCTGGGCCAGCATCTTAATCACTTAATTTTTTTGTTTGTTTGTGTGTGTATGTTGTTTTTCTTTCTTTTAGTTCAACTGAGAAGGAAAGCTCTGTTCTTTAACAAATTCTAAGGATGAACTCTTTTTTTCATTAGTACAGACACAGAAAGTATTATTTCCGGTACTATAGAAAGAACAAAGGATTAAATTCTGAGTATCCTCCAAAGTCTTGCTTGCTAGAAGACTGGCTCATGGCTTGGCGTTACTGGAAGCAGCTGAAACTTTGGGAGGTGGGTGACTGGGAGGCACTGGAAGCACAGAGGACAGCCCCCAAAGAGGATTATGAGATGCTGCTTTCTTCTCTTTGGTCTCCTGGACCTGAGATGAGCATTTTCACGCCATTACATCCTGCCAGAATACGTTGTCTTATGCCAAAAGAAATGGGCCAATCAAGCCGGGACTGAACCATGTAAGTGTTTGAATCCAAACAGACCATCGGTTGGCTAACTCAGGGATCTAGTGTAGTAATGGAAGGTTGACTACCACACAAGGTTTAAAAAGGTTGGTTTTTACTTTTGATAGTGTTGGAACAATCTCTACAAATTCAAGATCCTCGAGTGAAAATCTAACCTGAGCTAGTAGAGTGCTCAGCCACAACTGGGACGGCTATACCATTCCCTCATGGACAGCTCAGGGACATGGCTGAAGATGAGGTAGAAATGTTCTAAGAACCAGAGGTCAGAGAGAACTGGAGCGAAACAGTATCCATGGAACATGACGAGACCATTACATCCATGAGCTCACAGCAAATGTGGCTGCCTGTACAATACCCGTAACACAAATGATCAAGCCGATCGACATGCCAGCATGAACCTCATACCTGAGAGGGAACAGCATGGAGGTTAGCACTCAGATAGATCTGGATTTGAATGTGAGCTCTGCAATTACTAGCTAGATCTTTGTTAACAATGAGAAAAGGGGATGGGAGAGCACATCCTTTCACCTGGAACCAGAAACTAAACTACAGACATCTGGAGCTAACTCCTATATTAATGTCTGTTACAGAAAAGCACCGTGGGATACAGAGGAAAAGGCTAAAAAAGCCCAGATGGGAGAAAGGGTTTAGACAGACCTGCAGCTTCCTGCCCTCTCTTCTCACGCTACACAGATCCCAAACCTGTATGTGTTAAAGGGACACCTTGCAGACTGTACTAGAAGGAGGAAAGAAGGCCTCTGGTCACAGGCTTCTAGTATGTAAACATATTTCCACTTTTGAACATGTCTTTGCAGCAGTTAGTGCTTGTTTTTACCTCTGATAATGAAATATCAGCTGATCAGATGAATTTCTGAACCTGTTTAAAAGTCAGAGCATGTGAATAACAAAGTCACTTTTGTAAAAGTCTGGCATCCTAAGAGAGTGGATTCTGTCCCAGGTAGCCTACATGCAATATATGTGCAGATACGACTTGAGGAATGCCGAAGTCTCTACCACTCACAGGTTATGGAGCAGCTGTACCACATGGCAGGCAAAATGCCAGGCATGTCTAAATATTGAACTTCAGTTTGAACCCTCTCTCATTTGATGGTAATGTACATGTCAAAATAATAATGCGCTCCTGGTCACTTAAGTTCTTTCTGTTGTAAACAGCTGTCATTGTTCATTTCAATTATGATTATATTATAAAGTTTTAAAATAACATATTATTGCATTATCAGAAGCCATCTACTGAGCATGATTCTGACAGAATTAATTCATTATTCAGAAAGGAAATGGTGCTTCTGTGAGTCTTTGAGTTTCTTCCCCAAGCTATGAACTAGATGTAGCCTTCTTTGAACTGCAGTGACTACTGTAAAGATAAGAAAGTTGCTTAATGTCTCTGAAACTCTCTACTCATTTTCCTAGCAAAAAGTTGGTGCAAGTACCTACAATACAACCTTAGTGTAAAAATCAAAGAATCCAGGCAAAACACACTGTAGGTGGTCAATAAGTTGAATCTGTCCCAGGTTAGCTATGGTTCATCTTCAGGAGTTCAGTTACGTTGCTCTTGCGAGAGAGCCCACAGCTAGGAAAAACTTGAAACCCCTTAACTTCCCGAGCCTGTTGGAAACTAACTACCGTTCCAGCTTCACCTCACACCTATCTTAGCGTAAAAGTTCCTCCTCCTCTTCTCAGAGAGCGCTCCTCACACCAGCTGTCATCTACATAGTTCAGTGATTTTACACATGGCCACTTTCATCAAGAATGCTCCCATCTGCTCTCATTCCTCCACAGGATGAACCCTCTCACATCACAAGCAGGCTAAACACCATCTTTCCTGAACAAAACCCACACTTACTTACCTCTGTCATAGCACCTACTTTATACTGACTATCCTACTTCATTTACTTCCAACCTTCCCAAATTATAACATATTAATGTTGATAGAGCTCTCAGATGAGTCCCACTTAACCCTTGGTTGACCAGACCCTGCTACCATGCGGTTCCCTAGCACAGTGCAAAGGAATCTGATCGGTCAACAATAAGCGAATGAGGTCCAGGAACTGGCCTGAGGAAGTTAATGCAGTTATGTAACAATGAAAACGACAGCAGCAAGGAGGAGAGTGATGCTGCAAGGTGAACTGTCCTGGCTGCTGCTTCCTCGCTGTTTACCAATGGGATGGTTTCTGTCTTCCACAAGCCTTGCCTTCTGGTGTATCCAGAGGCTTTGGGCAGAGGTCAGCCATGTGCTCAGCATCTCCTCCTCTGAAGTGAAAGATGGCCTTCCAGGCTTTGTGAGCCATGATTAACTGTAGATGCCTATGTCAATGGGACCTTTGTCTTTACTTACAAGGTTGACAAAAATTCCTCAATTTATCAAAGCTAAGATGGCAATAAACTCCAAGGGATTTTCTTTCTTTATGGAGAGAGAAAGAATATTGACTGCCAAGTACACCATGGTACTGTTGTGAGAGGCAGCGCAAACTCAGAGCTAGGAGAGTAAATATACCCTTACAGGCAAACAGGCATACTGCATAGCTACATATATGTTTATTATGTATAGAGTTTATATATGTATGTTAATCATGTCTTAGGATCGGCTAGATGAAATATGAAATGTTACTTCATATTTGCAGAAGCTTTCTCCTTTATCTTATCATAAACGAAAGAAAGAAAACATTCAAAAATTTCAAAATTATTATCCATTATCTGATATACTGGGCAAAAAAGGAGACAGACAGACAGAAACGTGACAGATTATGGCAACATCCATTCATTAATATCTGAGTGAATCACCCCGAGGCAGTCACTGTAAAGAAGCTAGACGGCAGTCCTTGCCATTGACTAGGCAGTGGTTCAGCCTAGTAAGATGATCAGGGAGACTGATGGTCCATTACAACCTGAGTTAGGTGACATGAAACATGGGAACAAGCACTAGACACACACACAGGAATGATAAAACCTGGCCTTATCTGCAGGTGCACTGGAGGACAGGAAACAAATCCTCTGCCAAGTGTTCTTTAAACTGATATCTGGAACAGTAGAATGGAAGGAGGTGCCGTTCCCAGCTTAACGGAACAATATACCTACGCAGAGATAAGGAAGGGTTGGCTCTGTCAGAAACAGGGAATACAAGCTTGTAAGTGGAGAAATGGAGAAAGAGAGCTGAAGGCAGAAGGGGGTCTACACAGAGGCCTGTAAGTTACTAATACTAGTTAAGGGAGTTTGGTGGGAAGGGACATAGGCAAGGTGCATTAAGAGCAGATAAAGCTACCAAAAATGCCAATAAAAACCAATGCCAGACTAAAGAGAGAGCTTAGAGAGACTGTTCAGTCAAAAGACTGTCTGTTATGCAAGCAGAAGAACCCCAGTACAGACTCCCAGCACCCACAAAGAAAATGCATGCAATTCCAGTGCCGGCAAGGGAGAGAGAAGCGGATACTCAGAGCCAACTGGCTAGCCAGTCTAACTTCATCAACCAGTTCTAGGGTCGGTAAGAAACCCTGTCTCAAAAGATAACGTAAAGAGTGACACTGGTGTTGACTGCTGATCTCCACTTTCATGTACACATACATGTACCTGTACGTACACACACACCACACAGACACACAGACGGGGGGGGGGGGAGAGAAAGGGGAGAGAATGACTAATAGGCTCAAAAGAGAGCAAAAAGGTCAATAGCATGTGCTAAAATAAATTAAAATACAGTGCTATGATATGCGAAGAAGGAAATGAATGGAAAGGAGTTTTGAAAAGTAGTTGAGAAGAGGCTTTTACTTAAGAAATGAGAAGAAAGTCTGAGATAAGGATCATGGCTTGTGCCATTGGACCGCAGAAATGTTGCTTCTGAGACACATCTAGGACAGCTAAGTGAAGATTTTCATCAGGAAATTAGAAAGCTGAATATAAAGATGAAGCGGGTGTTGAGTCAACTGGTTTAGGAATGTTCTTTGAGTACTCTAAACTACCAGGGACTAGCTAATGGTATGGAAAGGAGCTTCAGATTCTCATAGTTCCTTATTCAGAACCTGGTGCATTTGTTCTCAGTACTGACTGCTTAGAGTTCTTAGAGCTAACACAATTCTGCTACAGAAGATCTGATGCCCTCTTTTGGCATCCATAAGTATTGCAAACATATGATAAACACACAGAAAAAATGCATATGCGTGTGCACACGCACACATACACACACACACACAGAATTTTTAAAAATTATACCCTAGTTAAAGCACATATGAAATTCAGAAAATAATTAACAATTAATAAGTCTGGCATTTTAGTACAGAAAACTTTGCAGCCTATGTTTCTATGAATATAACTACCATGTAGAAATTTTGTACAGATTAAAATTGTATTTTTATGTTAGATTAGTGTAATACCAGCTAGTCAGGAAGCTAAGAGAAGAGGGTGGCTCAAGTTCTACCCAGACTCCCACTTTCATGTACACATACATGTAACTATACACACACACCCACACCACACAGACAGACAGACACACACAGAGAGAGAGAGAGAGAGAGAGAGAGAGAGAGAGAGAGAGAGGAAAAGGAAAAGAGAGGGAGAGAATGACTAATAGGCCCAAGAAAGAGCAAAAAGATCAATGGTATATGCTAAAATAAATACAGTGCTAAGATATGTCCAAGGCCAGCCTGGGCAACTTTGTAAAACCTTGTGTCAAAAATAAAAGACTAGCAAGAGTGATAGGACACTTACTTAAAATAGAATCTAGATCACTAGAAGCATATTATCAATAAAATATTTTCAGTAAATATGCATTATTTTGTATTTGCATTTAGCATTCTGAAGGAAATATTTACAAAATAAATATAAGGACAGGAGGATTACTTATTCTTCTATATGTCTTTCTAATTGGTTTTCTTCTTTTGCATATGACCTGAACATTAATAACTTCATGCTGCTCTCTAGTGGTAAATGCAGAAAACAAGCCATTAGAAAGTTTTGTCTTCTAGAACACCTGAACCAAGAAAAGGTATATATCATGAGCATAATTCTTAATCTGCTATATTTACAGCAGGAAAAAAGCCACTTAAAATTACTATGTTCAATCTATTAGTCTGATTTAAAGTATTTATGGAAATGAAAGGGTATAAATTTTATCAGGCACCTTGAACTATTATTGCACCCTACCCAAAGTATCTTAGTTAGCAGGGCATGGCGATCTTTAATATGAATGTCTGAGAGGTTGAATTAAGAGGACTGGCATGAGCTGGAGGCTGATGTGGGTTATGCATTGAGTTCCAGGTTAGCCAGATCTAAAACAAGGTCTCCGTCTCAAACAGGCAAACAAGCAAACAACTTAAACTATACTAAATCCTCAAGTCTCCCATTCTCCCCACCCACATCTCTAAGCTTTAAAACTGTACTGAGAGAGAATCTCTTAATTCTTGCCAAAAAGATTATTGGGGAAAAGTGGATTGAATTTGTTTAACTTTAACATTAACCTATGCTGTCTAATGATTTAAGTTGAATAGCTTAAATGTAGATCTTTATAATACCTTAAACTGGCAATAATTTAGAATTCAGAAGGGATTTGTAAAGATGCTTAGTGTTTCTCTTGTGATGAAACACCATACCCAAAAGCAACCTGCGCAGGAGAGAAAACCATTTATTTCACTGACACTTCCAGACAAAAGTCCGTCATTGAGGACACTAAGGGCAGGAACTGAAGCAGAGCAGGAAGCTGGAGACAGGAACAGATGCAGAGGCCATGGAGGAATGCTTCTGACCTGGCTTGCTCCTTGTGGCTTGCTCATCCAGAACCACTAGCACAAGGTTGCCCACACCCATGATAGGCTGGACCTTCATGTATCAATCACTAATTAACAAAATGTCCTAGCTTTCCTACAGCCTGGTTTCTCAACTGAGTTTTTCTCTCTCAGATTACTATAGCTGTTTTTGTCAAGTTGACATACAACAAGCCAGCACAGAGATGCCTTCTGAAATGAACAAACCTAAAACAGGTCAATCCTCCCCCCCCCTCTCTTTCTCCTGAAACAGCTCAATCCTCTCTCTCTCTCTCTCTCTCTCTCTCTCTCTCTCTCTCTCTCTCCTCTTTTATCTTTCGTGAGGAAATAAAAATCTAACTGAAAAGACAAACTGTTTGCTCTGTAAGAGTCTACAGTGAGAGAAGGGTAAAAGTGAAATTATTTATTTAAGAAAACCCTGAAAGAACAATTTTAAGAATAAACTTAGAAGATCCTTAACCAAGATATCTAGGTTGACATAAATAAAACCTCAAAGGGGTGACAATGCCAAAATCATGACATTTTATTAACTAAGTTGCTGGAGTTTTGATTAAAATCAGGCCCTGACTTTCTTAGGCACCAGACAAAGAAATGGACGGTCTATCACATTCATGTGATTAAGGAAAAAAGGCTAGCCACTATCTGCACTTAATTCTAGATCTAGTTTCTCATTCCCCGGTTAAATCTCGTCTCTTGTGGACAAATAATAAGGCCAGCTAATAAGTCAATGAGAATTACTGCAAATCAGGAAATGAAACAGTTCAGTTTGCTGCTTCGTTTCCTTTTGCAATTAGGAGGGCAATCAGACGCAGCTCAAGGTCAGGTGACCAAGGTGATCCAAAGTCAGCAGGCACATAGGCAACATGTCTTCAGATACAACTTCTCTGAACTCTGCTTCGGAGATGATTTGAACAGTGTGCAATCAGAAGCAATGCACAACCGTGAGTTCGTGTCTGACATATTGATTACCTGCTTCCTGGAGAATTTATAGGGTAAAAGTCCTTGAGGGTAAAGGTCCCCTTGTAGCTTTCACTGAGGACATTCAACTCATATAAAAAGTCTTCCTGAAGGAAGAAAACAAATCTTGCCACTGGTGCATTTCTGTCATTATTGATTATTTTATGTTTACCTTGTAACAGTCGCCTCCAGGAACGACTTCCTCAATATATACCAATGGGCCTTCATTCCTGTTAATTCCACCTAGGATCTTTAAACCCAGGCCTGTTTCCTTAGTAACTGTAATCACTTGAAAGGCAGGATCCCTAGGATAAAATATATTAGCACTTACAGGTTAGACTAGAGGTCTATACATAGTTTTCTTTCAGCTATTTATTAGATCAAATTGTCAGATGTATAGAACCCAAAATAGTTAATGCATACTAGCAATGACATTTGAAGAGTATCATTGAAAAGAAGTCAAATGAATTAATATTAGTACTTTCATTTCTCACATAAAACATAAAACAATTAGTGACAGCAATATGTCTATTTCTGAGAAGTATAAGAAAAGCAGTTGTTAAATGTTGCTTAATTAAATTCCAGGATTTACTACAAAGGGCCTGAGATTTGTTTTTTTTTTTTTAATCTGTTTATAAGATTGGCTCTAAAACCAAACGTTTTAACGTATCAGGTAAACAACTTCATATTTATACATACTAAGAGCAAAATAAATTTACTTCCATGTGAATGTCAAAACATTATCCTTTTCATTTAGGAAAATTTTATTGTTACAAAGCACTTGCTTCAGTTGTAATTTCTGCTGCACACGAGAAATGCCACCAAAAAAGAAGTGCCAGAAGAATTCAACACAAGGTAGGTATGGCACCAACTTGTATTTCTGAGCAAGTTGGTCAAACCAAACTTAAGCAAAGTTAGAAACAAAGCTGGGCTTAATACATTTAATATTTGTAAAACCTTTGTTCTACTTGTTTACACACACACTTTCATTTTAGACTATTTTGAAGAGTGGAATATAAAAATACATACATACATATGCCTATATCTATTTTTGTATGTATACATGTCTATGCATTTGTTTATGCAAAACGAAGAACCAAAAACAACTGAAAGAATAACGATATTTATCTATAGGAAGACTGAGGGCACAGGACAAGACAAGTTAGAGGAGACCTTCCCTGCTTGAACCTTGTAAAACATACTTTATCTGTTTATAAAATATTTACCGGCTTCTTTGGTTGCTGTCCACAAACCACTTGGTAAGGAGCCTTTCTACAAGCCATCGTTATCTTTCCTACTTGAATTTGGCCTTTCCTATTGGATTACTTTAGTATCCACAGGATACTAACAAAATCAAGTGTGAGGAAGATAGATATTTGCAAAACACTTATGCTGCCCGCTAGGAACCATTCTGCTACTGTTTGACAAGGCCCAAGTTAGCCTCCTGAAGGATGAAAGATCAGATGGAAGGAGGGGAATTCAGTCACCCAGCCTTTGAGCTGAGCTGACAGACATTGTTATGCCATCTATTGCCCACCAGAATTTCGTAGCCAGCCCACAGAACTATAAGGAAAAAAGTAATGCTTATTATTTTCAGACATTTGGGGATTGTTAGTCAGCAAAAGCTAAACTTAGATAATTTCAAAAGAATCAAACCAGATTTAAAAAACAAAAAACCCCACAATCTGTACCAGGAATTTTAATGAGCATGCAGGGTTTACTTTGTAGGTTATTTACATTTTACTATGGTTTGGAGGGGTCCCCCAAAGGCCTGTGTTAAAGGGCTTGAAGTGCTACTTAGAAGTTACTGCTAGTATCTTCAAGAGACAAGGCCTAGTTCCAGGGCTCTAGATGCTGGGGGAATGGCCTGGGAGCGACACTGAGATCTCAGCAGGAACATGGTGTGGCTGTGTCTCCACAGGCTCAGAGAAGAGGCGTGAACACATGCTGAAAACTGAGCCAAGAGTCCTTCATGTTTCAAAGTTGACTGTCTCAGGTGTTACGATCATGGCGATAGAAAGCCCACTAGCACGCACCAAAGCCCCAGTAATCAACGTGTTATTTTACTCACAGCTCAGCATTCCTACCACACAGCCACAAAACAAAACTTCAGAGTGTATACCTTTCAAAACATATTAAATTACATTTTAAAAAATTACTTTTCAAGTAGGCTGGATGATCCTGCAGCAGATGTATATTTATTCATGCTTTCACCACAGTTGTCTTGGATTTAACAGCTGTGTAAAGGAAGAACTTGAAGAGTCTAAATATTCTTCTTTTCTTCAGACTGGAATAAAGAAAATTTTTCAAGTCTTAGAACATTCCAATGTAGCTCCAATGTTACATAAAGACATTATATAAGTGGGACTGAAGAGACGACTCAGCTATTAAGAGCACTGCCTGCTCTTCCAAAGGTTCTGAGTTCAAATCCCAGCACCCACATGGTGGCTCACAACCATCTGTAATGAGATCATGTGCCCTCTTCTGGCCTGCAGGCAGACATGCAGGAAGAACACTGTATAAATAATAAATAAATAAATCTAAAAAAAAGACATTATATAAGTGTGGCAATAAACAACATAAGCCCTTATATTTTTATTGCTATATTTATCATGGACTATGACATTTTAGTCATTGATGGTAACATCTGAACCATCAAGACAGCTACAGATAGATGAACTGATCCCAACATCACTATGAACATATTAAATTCATGCTCTTTAGTACAGGTGACGAATGCAGTGATGTTTTCAGCAGTGATTACGACTTCCATGAGTGATAAGCTTAAAATGCAAAGGACTGGAAAGTGTCTCCTGTAAGCACAAGGCTATGGAGCTCAGAAAAATAATTACAGAATATAGCTGAAGAAAACAGAAATTCCTATCTCACCAATTCCCCCGAGGGTCTTCTTGCAGATTCTATATAACTGCAGCTCATATTATTCCACTTCACGTGTTTCTTAAGCACTTTCCTATGAAAAGGAAAAAGACATGGTTTTAATGTCTTATATAACTCCACAGTGAATAATACAGCGTTGCTTAATTAAAATAAACTACATTCAGGCAGAGATTCACTATGGGTGTGTGAGAAATGCGAGTGAGGCCGAGGAACTTCCCTTTAACACCAGGAGTGCACACTACATGTAACCCTTTAACTCTCACTCAAGAGTACTCCTGGGACGGAGAGAAGAAACAGTCTAAGGATAAAGTGTCATTTTCAACCAAAAGCAGGTCTTTCCTAAAATTTCTTTTTAACTGTGACATGGTGTGAATGATTGAAAATAGCCAATACTTTAGGGTTGAAAACCACATCTGGATCCTTTTGTACAGTCCTCTTAACTAAAGAACTGAGCGAGGAGATTCAAAGGCATTGTGCTTCCCCACATCCATGCATAGTGCTTGCTTCCTCAGTTAGAAGTTGGGCTTTGGAGCCTACAGAAAAGATCTTGGCACTCATTTCTCCGGCCTCCAATTGATATTTCCAGGCTTCACTAAGTCTCAGCTTCATTGATACAACAGGCCCCTTGAGCAGTGATGTTTCTGTCAGAGTACGCACACAGAGTGGAAACTTACCAAACTGTTCCTTTATCTTACATTTGCTGTAAGTCAATCACAGAGTCAGAGAACTAAAACCAGGGGGTTTATCCTACCTTTTCCCCGACCATTGTACATAGGAGAAATAAAGACCTCTTCTCTGTAAAAACCAATGGAGCCCTGGACAAAGGAACCAACAATCCATCTTTAGGGACCTTAGTAAAGAGTTATACTCCCTGGGCATTAACAACATAGCTCGGCATTCCAGCACCTACAGTAGCATAGTGGAGGCACTCAGGTCATGAGTGGTCACAGAAATGATGCCATCAAGCCACTGCACTGCCATCAGCAAAATTCCAGTGGCACTCAGTACTAACCCCTAGGAAAGGAGAGGTGATGACTTGAAGACACAGCTTTGATTGATACTGACTCGGAGCTTGGAGCCATTGTGCCATAGAGAGCTCAATTCTAAGAGTGTTTGCACGGACTTTTCAGACTGCTTTAATAATGGAGCACAGGGAGGTCACAGCCCTTAAAAAAGGACGTTCAGATATAAAATAGGAGTAGCTACTGTTTATTGACACCATGTGTCAAAGATTATATGAAATATTTCAGAGGCACTTATTTTATTGTATATCACAGAAAATGTAAGAGATGTAAGTTGAAAAATCAAGAATTACAACATTGCCGTGTGCTAGTGACATGGCCTCAAAAGTCAACTGGCTTTCTGGAATCATCTCATCCTAATGTAGGAATAGCAACACTAGTACAAAGGATGATATGGAAAAAGGAAGGAGGGAGGGAAAGAAGGAAGAAAGGAAGGAGAAGGGGAGGAAGAAAGGAAGGAGAAAGGAACGGAAGACGAAGGAAGGAAAGAGGAAGGAAGGAAGGAGAAGGGAAGGAAAGAAGGAAAAAGGAAGGAAGGAAGGAAGGAGAAGGGAAGGAAAGAAGGAAAAAGGAAGGAAGGAAGGAAGGAAGGAGAAGGGAAGGAAGAAAGGAAGGAGAAGGAAGGAAGGAGAAAGATAGGGAAGAGGAAGGAAGGAAAGAGGAAGGAAGGAAGGAAGGAAGGAAGGAGAAGGGAAGGAAAGAAGGAAAAAGGAAGGAAGGAAGGAAGGAAGGAGAAGGGAAGGAAGAAAGGAAGGAGAAGGAAGGAAGGAGAAAGAAAGGGAAGAGGAAGGAAGGAAAGAGGAAGGAAGGAAGGAAGGAAGGAAGAAGAGGAGGAAAGAAGGAAAAAGGAAGGAAGGAGGGAGGAAAGAGGAAGGAAGGAAGGAAGGAAGGAAGGAGAAGGGGAGAAAGAAAGGAAGGAGAAAGAAGGGAGGGAGGGAGGGAAAGAGGGAGGAGAAAGGAAGCCCCAGCAGATTTCCAGTGGTTACTAAAGTGACCAAGATCCCCATCTAGTGGCAGTCTGTCCTCATAAAACAGAGGTCCTCAAGCCTCCTTGGAACACATCCAGAAGTAAGCATGTATTAATGCTAGTCTCTATACTGGATTTCATGTAATGACAAAATTTGAGTTTTAAACAAAATTCTATTTTAATGCATTAGAATTTAAGTGCCCAAATTATTTCACTCACTTAAACATGCTGAGCAGTGCACTAGCTGGTTACAGATAACAAGGAGCAGAAACCAGCTTCAGAGACAGACAAACAGATGCCAGAAGGTGTGGGTGTGCTGACAGTGCTGTTCACAGGGGGCTGAGGAAGTGTGGAGGAAGCCTGCCTATCCCAGAATCATTGCTGATGTTTCTGTGTTTAGTCATCACTAACCATCAGTAGAGCCTGGGCCACTGTAGGTTTTCTAATTCAGAAGCCTCTCAAGGCAAACATTTTTTTTTTTTTACACAAAATCTACAGAGAAACTATAGGATTTATCTATTATCACAGGCCAGAGGCCAAGGGTAACTTAAACTATTTTTTCTAGCATTAAAACTCAAGCCTTTTTTTTTATATTTATTTATTTATTTATTATGTATACAATGTTCTGTCTGTATGCCTGCAGGCCAGAAGAGGGCACCAGACCCCATTACAGATGGTTGTGAGCCACCATGTGGTTGCTGGGAATTGAACTCAGGACCTTTGGAAGAGCAGGCAATGCTCTTAACCACTGAGCCATCTCTCCAGCCCAACTCAAGCCTTTTCTATTCCAGCATGCTATGAAATAATCTTATGTGAAAAACACCATGCTAAGCCCGCCCAAACTAGATGTACGTTAATGGCAGTAACACATTATCTCTTTCCATGAAGAGTACAGAAACTTGCATAATAGCATGAGTTTAATCTTAGCCATCCAAACAGTCTGTGTGTGTGTGTGTTACTTGTTAACAGCCCTGCAACTGTGGATGCACACAGGTATATGGTGCCTCTAATTGGAGGTCAATGTCCGGTGTCTTTCCTTTCCCGCTTTCTCACTTTAATTTTTTTTTTTTTTTCTGAGACAGCATGTCTCGGTGAATCTGGAACTCACCAATTCAGGCTAGCTGGCCAGTGAGCTATAATGCTGTAATAATAAGAGTGGATGGCCACCCCAGGCTTTTTACATGGATTCTGTAAACTCAGGCCTTCCTGCTTGCATGGTAGACATTTTACTGACGAAGCTATCTCTCCAACCAAATCCAAGATTATTCTTTAAATTGATTTTTTATGTAAGCTCCTTCTCCCATGTTCATTTCCTACCTCCGTATTTTATTCATGCATGTGTAGTGTAAGTGTGTTTGTGTGGGCATGTGCATATGTGAGCGTGCAGGCAAGTACCTGCGGAGAGGCTTACATCAGGAGTCCTCCTTATTCCCCATCTTAGATTTTGAGGCGGAGCCTCCCACAAAACCTGACAGACAGAAATGCCTCTCTAGCTCCTCAGCATGGGGATGACCAAAGGATGCCATCACACCAGGCTTTTTATGTGGGTACTGGAGCTTACCAACTAAGTCATTAATTCCATTTCTGTACCCCTGGTTCTTTTATACAAGCTTGTAAACCGTTTAACCAATAGAGGTTTTAGCAATGTTATCCACAGTCACACATACAAGCATGACACGTAAGTACCCACCACTTTGACAGAGTGATACAGAAGTAAGAATTTTTTTCTTTTACTAAAAATATAAGCACTCAATGAAATATACTGCTTCTCTAACTTGCTGAGTCAGAAGAGAGACAAGATTAGGTCAGCAGAAACAGAAACTGGGAAACTACAGAATAGCATTTTCTTTAATAAGATGAATTCATTTCAGAAAACTAGGCTTTACTGTGATATATCAATCTTTCCTCTTATAACTTAATTAAACTATAAATAATCAGAAATCTTATCAGCTAAAAAATATCTGGCCATCATGTATACAATCTTTGATTAAGACTTGGTAATTTATAATCTCAACAATTTCTAAAATGAGATATTTTACTATATCAAATGCACAAAAAAGTAAAATAAGTAGGTATAAAATAAATAAGAAATGATAGTAAATATTAACAGGATGAAATTACCAGGCATGTCATAAAGAAACTGATACAAATTTCAACTACCCCCCCAATAATGTCTGTTATTCTAAATGTCACCAACATGATTAATTCCTAAATTTTTTGAAGTCTTAATGAAAATTGTATCTTAAGGAAGCCAGAGGTTTTGTTTTAAAAAAGCTGCTTATTTTGCCATTTTCTGTATTTTTTCTGTTCAATATCCACCCATCAGCACTAAAACTGCAAACACAGTTTTCTCTCTCTGTTTTTGGTTGTGGACATTTTATGTAAACACATGCGGCTATATCCACTCATCTTTGAGATTTCTGTACTTCAGTGTGAAATAGAAACTCCTTTCCCACTCCAAGGTAAATAAGTCAGTCCCACGTATTTTCTTTTGAGACTTTATGACTTCATTTAAAAGTCCTTGATAACCGCCTTAAGATGGATGTAGAGGACATCCTGGCTTTTCTCCCTGGAAGATCATCCCCACATCTGACCACACTTACAAGCTGTTTACCATCTCTGATTTGAGATGCAACCTTCAGACTAATTCTTGTATTTGAATCAATTCTTGCCATTTTCATTTGATTTCTTTGATTAGACTATTTATTCATGCACTAAAATTAATTAATTACAATTAATAGGCTTTATAATATGTTTCTACATCTTATAAAACAATTCTCCCTTTATATTTTATTTCGTCAACTTTTCCTAGTTGTTTGGGTTTTATATGTATATATTAATTTCAAATTTTCCTTAATTAAAAAAATGAAGCAATGGTATGTTAGAAAATTATATTATAAATGAGAAAGTATTAGTACCGATTTTTATGATCTTATTCTGATTCAAAGAACTTGGTATATTTTTTTGTTATATATTCTTTTGTGAATTCCTACACGGTTCTAAAGTTATCTTCATATCAATCTTGTAAACTGTAAGTTAGTTTTTCAATATTTTTTTCTTAAAACTTTTTTCAAAACCTATTTG